AAACAATAAAATGAAATATTAGCATTATTCATTCATAATTATTTTTATAAACTTCAATTACTCTATTGACTTATTAGAACTTAAAACATCGATAAACAGTCACATTTCTAGTAAAAAAATATGAAACCGGTATTGTAATGCCTGGTTACATTACTGTAATTTCAAATGAATTTCATAGAAAGAATTCCCGATAGCTCGAAATAACTCAACGGTGATTAATTTTTTTACAGCCGATCAAAATTTTTATTTTAAATGATTTAAGTACAATTGTGAATTTTTACATAGGTACCTTATTCAATTCATATTCGAAACTACTGAAAACTTCGATGATTATTGTATATAATAGCAATAATACTTTTCAGTCGATCTGTTTTTATAAAGCATATAATCAAATTATACCAATTACTAAAAATCTAAGTAAATTTCAATAATTATAATAAAGATATATAATATCAGTGATAATAATCATAATAATACTAATAATGTAACAATGATTTTGAAAATAAAAATTAATTAAAAAAGCTTACCTTTCATTTTTTGGAAAACGGTGAAACGAGAGATGTGGCATCCTCGTTAATGTATTTCTGCATTTTAAAAATGCACAAATATATGTAGATGGCATTTTTACGATCACAATGCACAATAATTTATACACTGAACGCACTCGCAAAAAAACACAAATTTTATGCACTGTTTTAAACAAATTAAAAAAGATTTCGCTCGAAGTGGTAGCTTTCTAAGAATCTCAGAAGATCTAAACATTCAAGATGATGTTTTCTGCCGCCAAACATATTTTCTATGCGTGCGCATTCTTTCGTAAAATAGACGCGGCTATTCCAATGACATTATCGCCACCATGCGTTGGGCTACCGAAGATTGCAGGCACAGTGTCGCCACTTGGTGGTTGGGGTGGGAACCTACCGGCTTGGGGTGATCTGGGGTGATCCCCAATTAAAACACGTCATTGTATTTCTATATACTCTCCGACACAACGAAGTCGAGTGCGGCGGCGAAGGGGGGCTTCTTTTGAAGTTTTCATAAATACTGTAGACCAATTTAAGCCATTTTCAAAAAAAAGAAATGAAGTGTTCAAAAAAAGGTCAGGATACGAAAGCTTTTTTACTCTCCAGATTTATTTTTTGCAATAACATATTTTTATTGTTTATGTATCTATTTTTTTGATTTGTTTTATGTATGTATGTGTATATATGTTTGTATACTTGGTGACGTTTGAACCTGTCCAATAAGACCGGTTTTGAGTAGATGCAGCCATCGACATATACTAATGGATGTGACTGAGCGGTCAGAATTGTGATACGCCAAAAGAAAGAGATGGAACGAAGTTTCGGACAATATCTATCTCTTCGCGGTTCTTTATCAGCTTTCCATTTGCAGATGAAACAATATTGAACCTTTTTCTCGGACTATATCCACTGCTAGCCATTAACAAAATTTTCATTTTAAACGCTGTATCACCAAAAAAAAGCAGCTACCAACGAAACTGAAACAACACGAGACAAGGAGACAAAAGTATTCAAATACCATTCAAAAATAAAATAGAGCAAAGGTGCTTCGATTACGTCAGAACTAAGTACATCAACCAATTACTAATCAAAGTAAAAGGAATCAAAGACCTGAAAAAATTCAAAAGAGAAAACAAACAGTGATCACAAATAAGAGAAGTGTAACTGCAGAACTAAAACCACAATATCGTGTTTATTCACGCATCAAACAATTCATAGCCTTCAATGCAAATAAAGGCGAGATAAGGTTAAGCATAGGTTAGGATTAGCTCAAATTAGGGTAAGAGCAATAAGTAACATACATAAATCTCTACCACGGACAAGATTTACTTTTTTTTGTGGTCTCTTTGAATATTTAAGTTTTATAATGTAGTGCTGATGTATTCGAGAGAAAAGAGAATAAACTAAGATTGACTAAATGGACGGAGCATAAAAAGTATGGCGAAGATGTGGCATAATTTCCTATAGTTCCTACTATCGACGTTGACTAATGGACATGCCTTAGCGGTCAGAATTGTGGTACAACAAAAGATAGAGATGGAACAAAGTTTCGGGCAATATCCATCTCTCTCACGATAGTGCATAAGCGTGTCATGAAAGAGATAGCACTAGTCCGAAAACATACGCCATCTCCCTCACTTTTCGAGCCAAGAAATTATTACAACGACATACGGCTAAGGCACGTCCATTAATACACGTCTATGGTTCCTACAGCTTGTCTATGCCCTAAAGTATACAATGTAATTGGGCTAAGATATGCGTGAAAAATATAACCCTTATTTTCTGTCGCGCAATTGAGTAAAAATATAAATCGCTATCATATATTTGTTTGCAAAATTTTGTAGTTTCTATACAAACACCCTACATATCCACATAGGAGTTTTTCATCACCCTGTATTATCCTTAACATTGAACTTTTAGTAAATTCTAGATAAGATATAGATGTAAAGTAAACCGCTGATCAACGTTCTGAATACAGCCAACTAGTTCTACTATAGAGTTCTTAAAAAGTGCGTGAACGTTACAGATAACATAAAGGTAGGGTTTTATTTATTTCTACGTCTTTTGATATTTTTCACTAAAAATGTAGCTCATTTAATGCAGACCAGAAATATGTAGGTACTTTTTATATGGAACGATTGTAATGTCTCGTTAATTCTTAATATCCATATGCATGATCATATGCATATAAATAAAATAATAGCTATGTATATAGATATGTACGAAAACTCTGTATGTGAAGTTACTAATAGTTATTGAAACATATTTATACGGTATCATTTTTGTTCTTTTTACATTAATTATAAATAATACGCGATGCGCTTATAACATAATTGATATGGTGTCAATTTCAAAGAAAAAAGCGAAGACGCTTATAAATCAGAAAATATCTATTATATTTACACGCTGCAAATATTTTGAATGTGAATGTGATCATAATGCGATAGTCATAGAGGACTGAATACTTGTTATTTGCATTTGTCACTGCTCGTCACCATTGTTACCATCGACGTTTACTAATGGACATGCCTTAGCGATCAGAAGTATGGTATTTAAATGGACCTTGTTGGAGCATACGTAATCCTAAAATGTAGCATCGTACTACAGATGGCGTTTTTGTAGTATTTCTAAAACACGCTGTTAAGACAACAGGTAAAAGTTGGTCTGTGTTTTGTCGGAGCTGCCTGCGACGCGCTGATGAGGTCCAAAAAGATCGAAATCGCGATCCGCGTCTGGCAGTGTCGACAGAATACAGACCACTTCGAAATATTTTATTCGATTATGGTACGTGCCTATCACGTTGAGGTTAGCTACGCCGGAATTCGTTTCAGCAAGTAGATATACATTTATTTAAATGGACTTTGTTGGAGCACACGTAATCCTAATATGTAGCATCGTACTACAGATGGCGTTTACCGCGCCATTTGTAGTATTTTCCAGAAGTATGGAACGAAGTTTCGGACAATATCCATCTCTTTCACGATAGTACGTAAGCGTGTCATTAAAGAGATAGCACTAGTTCTCCCTCACTTTTCGAGCCAAGAAATTATTACAATGATATACGTCTAAGGCACGTCCATTAATATATGTCTATGCGTCCATTAATATATGTCTATGATTGTTACCATATTCTCACTTTGTCGCTTGCCGACATAGTTAATAATGAAAAGCATAGATGAAAAGTATAACCATAGATAAACACCAACGAAATGAGGTCGGCAAGTTAGCCCCCATGATTTTTTTTTAACTTTTCGAACTTAAAATTATTCTAATCGTTTTTTTGTCTTTTGTTTATTATAAAAAATGTAACCTAACATTCATTCTCAATCTGGCCTCCTTAGTGGAAAATAAACTTCTTTGCTTTTAATTAATTTAATTAATTAATTCAGTATCCTTTGTTTGATTATAATTTACGTTTGTTTGATTACCAATAATAATGTTTAATTATAATTTTTTCAATAACTTTTGTTACTTATCATCATACATCAGTAAACATCAAATAAAGAAAATGAAAATTTTAAATGAAATTTTATTACTAAAATGTATGTTATAGAATATTGAGCCTCTAAGTATTTTCTATGAACAATAAGGAAATGAAAGTTCATCGTTTTTTGGCAAAACCTAGTCATGTCATCACGCTTTGAAAATGTTACAGTTCAACGCCGCATTTACGATATAATTAGCACTTGTTATTTGTTAGATTAGATTAAGCGTGATTGATATTTATATTACAATTAGTTTTTTGTTCTTTTAATGTTGTAGACTTATATGTATTTAGTGAGTCGAACTTATTTCAGTAGGTCCGTGTATTACTGTCATAGGTCAGTGTTGAACAATAGTTACAATTACGTTTAGTACGGCAGAACTTTGTGACATGATACTAATTTACGTCGATTGTGAACACGATGTCATTGCAAACATCGATCACCCATATCCTCATTGAAAACATCCTCAGCGGCAAACCGTCATAAATGCTGTACAGACATTTAAGAGAAACCAGCAATGTACACATTTGAAAAGGAAATCTGCCTTAATGATATTAACTTGCCTGTTAATATGTCAACATATTTTTTTTTTCCATTCTTTATGTGCTTATATGTTAAGATGTATTTAAATAATGCTGCATGCTATTAGCGATAGACAAATGGTATTATTATAAAATTTAACGTTATGGGCGCTTATGAACATTGTGTGGTCAGCTTTGTTGATGTTCACTTTAACCAATTGGCAACCGGCACTGTTTATTCCATCGAAGTAGCTTTCAAGTTCTTATTTTAATTCAGAGGTTCGAATTGTAGCTTAATGTGATTTTCTTAAAAAGTTTTTTGCCCTTTAATCACGTTGCTGCACTCAACATGCAATTCCCTATTATGAGTAGTTGGTACCCTCCAAAGTCCTAATATATATCTATGGGTTGGATTTCTTATTTATAGTGTCTTATCTATATCTATAGTCTTCATGATTCTTATGGTCTACTGGAGTTTTACTTGTCTATGGGTTCTACTCATTTATCATTCATTTATTAATTGAATTGTAAACTCCGGAAAGCTGCATGGAAAGCTCAAAGCTCGAAGCAGAAAACAAATAAAGGTGGTGCTTATCAGTGAAGTGGATTTAGTTTTCTCAGGTCGATTTTCGAGTGGCGTTTTGCTGTAGTAACCATGAAAATCTGAAAATGCAAAGGTAGTGAACACTGTTAACTGTGTCCGTACAATAGCCCCTCCGATAAGAAAGAAAAAAATTGCTGTTTATTCACCAATTATCAAGGTACTTGCCTATGTTAATTATTTTAATGTATTTATGATAAATAATAAAATAGGAATTATTGAGTAGTCAGTACACGTATTCGTTATGCAAATAAATAGTTCTGGATGCAACAATTATGTGACATGCATATATAGTACGTATGTTATTTGAAATATGTTGTTTCGTTTTGTAATATCAGGATGAGGTAGGTACTTAAAGTAATGTAATATTTCACAATATTAATTTGTTAAATGATTTGTGTTGGTTTCTTAGAAAGTAGGTATATGTACTAATTCATTTGTGCTTTCACCTGTTCTATATCACTATTGTAAATATTTTATCATTTGGGTGATAAGATAAATTGTGTACTTTTAACATAAGAATATTGTTAACAATTGAAAGTTAAAATTGCACAAGTACACGTACCTTATGAATCATAATATACATAGCTTACTCAAATTTTATCTTTATAAGCAAAAATATCTCACTACGAACCAGTGCAATATGTTTGAATATGTAGCAACTCTTACATATTCATACATACATATATATGCATGTTCAATACCTGGTATAAAACAAGTATAATTAACGCATATTCATCTATGTATAGGTAATTGTAGTAGTATCTACCATTTTCAGAAAAACTTATTATGTCCTGTGAATAATAATTTAGCTACTTTTGGTTTTTAGGGCTGTAATGAAAATTTAATTTCGTAAATTGCAATCCACGTATGGTAGCACAACGATTTAAGACTGGAAAGAAAAATAAACTAAAAATTGTAACGGTTGTATCAACTAAGTGTCAAATCTCGAAAATTTAAAAACAAAAATCACATGGTGTTTTCGTGATAGAATACTTATCGCGAGGTGTGTCTACCGAATATTTCCGATTTTTACCCGAAGAGTTTAAATTTCTGATACATTATCCTCGCGCCAAGAAGGGAATGTACGTATATATGCTATCATTTAATCTTCATTTGTTTCGACTTTTTTAAAGAAAAATGAACGCAATATATTCACAATATAAATTATAATAGTTATACATATATGACAGTTCCTGATACAAAATGAATTCGTGAGATTTCGGAATTATTCGATTACTTTCGATAATGTTCGGCAGACACCGCACGTTGACGGTGTTTTCTCGAAAATACCATTAAGTTTTTTGTGAATTTTAAAGTAGAATTCAATTTTAAGTGGTCATTGCCGAACATCTTGTGTAGTTAATATATACTACATACTAACAATTAATTGATTATTGTTTTACAATAAATTATAATTCTTCAGAAATAAATTTTCTATAAAGTAGGTGATTGTAAGTAATTTTTTAACGATAATTTGACCTATATCTACATGCTATCCCTTAACATATGTTCGGTATGTAGGTGCAGTGGAACTCGGTATAATGATAAACTCGGATATAAAACGTCTTATTTTTAATTTGCCTCTGTTATTTATTGCAGAAGTCTGCATATTTATAACTTCGAGTAATTTCATCGTTTATTGACATTAAGCAGTGCCTAATAGGTACTACAGGAACTTCATACCTATTGCAGGTCCCTATAGTGACGCTTAGTTGTAGTCTTTTTATAGGAAAAATAAATTTTGGTATTTTTCATGTTAGCATTTTAAAATAACATCCTTTTACATTTTCAGATAAAAAATGGTTAAAGACGCTCCACCTCCTTACACAGCAACTGCAGGAGGTCCTCCACCTCCTGGTTTTGTTTCACCTCCTGGTTATGTTCCACCACCACCAACACACGGTAAGTGCCTTTCTGAAAGGAAAAAAATGCGATTTGGTCATTTTTAGTTGATATTGAAATTGAGACATGAAGTTTAGTCAGGTAGCTAGTACTCACCAAGCAGAATCGTGTGGTAGTATTAATTCCATGCAGAAACCAATGTAGCTTGAGATACACGCTGCTAAAGTTTTCTTAATCAGAGGAAATTCCGGTTGGTACGGTCCTGACTGCAGCCCTTCGTCAGCTGTTCTCGCCAAATATGCATTGATGACGTCATTGTTTAATCGAATAAAATAATTCGAAGTGGTCTGTATTCTGTCGAAACTGTCATACGCGGATCGCGATTTCGATCTTTTTGGATCTCATCAGCGCGTCGCAGGCAGCCCGACAGAACACAGACCAACTTTTACCTGCCGTCTTAGCAGTGCGTTTTAGAAAATACTATAAATGGCGCAGTGAACGCCATCTGTAGCACGATCGAATAAAATAATTCGCAATCCGCGTCTGGCAGTTTCGACAAAATACAGACCACTTCGAATTATTTTATTCGATTAAGCTAACGTACCTATCACGTTGAGGTTGGCTACGCCGGGATACGTTTTCAGCAAGTAGATATCCACACAAGTGGACCTTGTTGGAGCATACGTAATCCTAAATTGTAGCATCGTGCTACAGATGGCGTTTACTGCGTCATTTGTAGTATTTTCTAAAACGTCATTGTTTAGTTAGGTAGATTTATGACAGACTCGAGTTTCTCTAACGCTCCTGCCCGCCGAAGGCGGGCTGATATATTGGAATAATGTTAGGACATCTTTTAGGTGGGAACAGCTGACGGAAGGCTGAACCCAGGGCCGTACCAACCGGAATTTAAGATTAAGAAAACTTTAAGAGCCTGTATCTCAGTCACATTGATTTTTAAACAAATAATAAACATAATTCTAATAAATACTACCACACTACGTTACTTGGTGAGTACTACCTACCTGACTAAACTTCATGTCTCAATTCCAATGTCGACTAATGTAAAAAATTACCTGCGATTTTATTTATTTTAATTAGTGATTTATTTTATTATGAAGGATGTGTGTAATTTGTGGATATATTGTTTGTACAGCTACAACTGTCATTGTAACTGCACCACCACCAGGCCCCTTTGGACCGGGTAGTAAGGTAATGGTATGTCCTTATTGCCACAGTCAGATCAGCACAAAAGTAGTTACGGAGGCTACAACTAAGACCCACTTATTTGCATTACTGTTATGTCTTTTCGTGTAAGTATACAAAATACTTTTTTCTAAAATTGGCAGCAATTAAAAATGTAAGTTATTAAGAAAAAACTGCATTTGCTAAATAAAATGTAAAGATTATGATGCTATTTACATTGGTCAAACGGGCCACAGTTCAAAGCTATTTTTTGAAGATATAAAAATGGTTAGATATGTATAAAATTCGTTTGCCTTTACGTAAATTTCTAAAAATCGTGATACAGATGCAGATAACAGTAAATTAATTTAATTGAATTTGTAATTTGAATTGCGTATAGGCAGCGTACTTTAACAAATTATTATAAGCGCTGGGGGTCAAATTGTCATCGGTAGCAGAGAGGGCGGCTTTTGATAGTAAACAAGTTTAAACAAGTTTTGTGGGGTCGTTCAGGTACCGAGGTCGGCGACACGATCTGACTAAAATTTCCGAAAAGTCAGCAATGACCTGCCTTTAGACCGATTAGGTACCAACATTTCCGAGTACCCAAATAAATTTTATGATGTGCTAATTAAGCTGCTACCCTTGCAAACAGGAACAAAAGAATGTCGAACATTCTTTCTTGAATTACTGATAGCGAACTGAGATGAAATTTTATCAAACTAAGTATAATCACTTGAAATGCAAAATATATAAATAAACATAAAGGAATCTAAACAGAATTAAATAATTAAACATCATTCTAAAGTTTATTACTACAGCTACATATTGATATAGGTTTCATTTATCTCTAAATCTGTTGACACCCATATAAATGCGTTCCCAGTAAAACAGTCAAATCTGAAAAGTTATGCTGTATATGACTATTTTTGTCAAATTTAAAAATAATATATAACACCAAATGTTTGAATCATAGAGATAATAGAATAGAGTATGCAAGCTCTTCGAAAATGTACTTCTTAAAAAGAAACAGAAAATAAGGGCTTCCTCTTAGCTCTTTTGTCTCTGTTTTTGTTTCATGCACACTCTTGTAGTCAGTTGTGCCAACCAATCAGAACAACCATGAAACAAAGACAGAAGAAAGAGGGAATCTCAACTCACGTCTCACCGCCACTTACAGGGATGTATTGCCTATGTATTCTAATATCTCTATGGTTTTAACACATTACATAATTATTACATTATTATGTGTCCCTATCAATGTTTTTTTTATCATTTTGCAGATGTTGGCCGTGCGTGTGCTTACCATATTGTATGGATTCATGTCAAAACCAAAATCACTACTGTCCAAATTGCAATGCTTTCTTGGGAGCATATGACAACTAACGAATGATTACTTAATATGTTCATGTAATTATCCCTTAGATTTTTTAAATAAGAAAATGTGGTAGCTTAGTTATAGTATTATAGGGTAAAGGCTGATTTTTGTAAAAATTTTAGAAGCACAATTACTAGTTTTCTATGATGTGCATTATGGTTGGTTTTTAGTAAATATATTTTAATTACATCCATACCAAATATGCTTTAATGTTACTTCCATGATGTCTTATGACGTAACAACATACATTGCAAGACAATGTTCTTCCTAAAGTATATTTTTGTATGGTTATAATAGTAAGTTCAAAACCAAAGTGTAAAAAAACTGTTATATATTTTATTAACGTCGTGTTCATTACTAATATTTTGTGATCAAAGTGATGTAGTAGCACATACTCAACAACATTTTTATGAATTATTCATGCTAAAAAAGGTAATTAGGTATTGATGTTTCATTTATACTACCTGCCGGTTATTTTATCACATTATTTTTCGTTTTAAAAATGACTAATTTATGCATATTATTTGCTTATGTAATAATGTTTTATCTAGACATGTAGAGCGCAGTCGCCAGCACATCGTTTTGGTCAGAAAATATCAGTAACGAATAGAGCCATTATAGCTTATTTATAAATATAAACGGTACTTTTAATAAGGAATTTGCATATATTATGATTTTCTCTTTTATTGTTACAAAAAATGGTTAAGAGACTGGTAGTATTATATGCAGTGCTATATTGAATTTGCTTCCTTTTTTTAAGTGTTTCTATATACATATACATATATATTAACTGTACTTTCCATTCTATTGTATGTTTTATACTATATCTGTCTTGTATTTTAGTCTTAATGAATTTATAAAATACATTGTAATTTACATTTTAAAATAATAATTGCTAATTAAACGTATACATAAAAATAAAAAAGTACTTTTATTCAGAACACGCTTTAATAGCAAAACGAACTAAAGATCAGAAAGTAATTTTTAATTACTGATATTTTATTCAGCAGCCGTAGAAAGTCTATTAACTTAATGTACTTCGATCATTTTCAATAATTTTAAAATAAAAATAAAGTGATAAAAAGAAAATAAAGTTCATTATAAAAAAAGCTTGCGGTGCTTTTTATTATCTTTTTATAATAACTACTTTTACGAATAGATAGTACTGATATATTTACAACAATTAATATGAACCTTTTCTATTAAAGCGTGTTTTTAGTTTTTTAAACAATTTTTTATTTTTTCGTCTTTTCTTAATGTTAGTAAACAGTGATAGTGATCAGGATACCTGATATTTAGTATATCTTACGCTAGCGACATGATATTTTTAACCACCCTCTTGCCACTCATCCCTCGGCACGTTTCTCACCAGTGTATTGGATGGGGATTTTATTTGGATAAAATTTTAGTGACTCAATCAAAATTATATATGGCAGCCATCTTGTAAAATGGCGGAACCCAAAAACCCACACTATGCTGACGCCAGATATAGCTTTTTATCCCAGTCGGTTAATTTTAATTGAAATTATTGCACATGGCAGTCATTTTGTAAAAGGGCGGAATTCAAAAAATTTTATAAATAGCAATCGCCACACTCCGCCGAGCCCAGATATCGATTTTCATCCAAATCGGTGAACATACACATTTGGGATGGAGAGAGGTGTCAATCGGGGCGACACTACGGTGTTTCGCACCTACGTAGAGTTCGGCCTTCGCCATCACTCGCGGCTTGGCCTCGCATTCGCCTCGGCCCTGCCGCATGAAAACGCACATGGCAGAGGGGTCACAGAGTGGGTGGTCAGTTAAATTTTTGTATTATCAGTATTTAATATGTATTTTCAAATCAAGTAGACGTCTCGAAGTGGGTTAAAATGGTCAAATTAATAAAAGCGTGTTAATGAAAGGGTTCCAACAGAGACGTATATATACGAGTGCATACTCTTTTATAGCTAATACATTGTGCAAAAAGAAAGTTACGGTAACGCGAGAAAACCAAGTTTTTTCCTAGACTGATGTACTCAGTTATAGCGTATACTAAGCAATAGTGAGTAGTTTCACAACTTGTAATATTTTAAAATTTCTGTGAGAAGTACCTACTTTCACGTATCCTGAAAGTAAGTAATTATTAAGTACTTCAATCATGCTTTACAATAAGTAATTATTTTCTGAAATAGTGCTGATTAGAAAGGAAAGGGTATTTTCTGTCCAACACAGAAAAACCGTGCTGTACAGTCTACACCATTATGGGGTGTGTGACCGGCGTTTCTACCCCATATGCAAAAGGGCAAATGGGAGATTAAGACGCCATGCAGTGGCAACTTTATTTTGTAAGTATTTCAATTGCAAGAAATAATCAAAAACTAATTTGAAATGTTCTACCTAGATTATACAGTTCCTGCAGGAGTTAAAGGTCAAGATGCCGCATTCCATTTTCTTGAAGTAACAGCGGTTCCAACGAAAGTGGCAGGTACCAGGTATTGTAATTTGTTGTTGTTGTGAAACTTAAGTTTGTAGCGTTGAAGATAGAAGATTTTGGTAATTGGTTAACAGTGTGTATTTAAACAAAACAAAAAATGTAAAAATATAAACTTAGAAACGTAGAAATTAAAATAAGAAGAAATTTGTCCAGACACGCAAGTGAACACGCGGATGTCTATTTCACTACTGTCTTAAAACTTTGAAAAACATCAAAAGTATATTCGCACCCCGTCGCTGTTTATTCACCTAGCAAGCCGCCAAAGGATACCGTCTCTATTCACGCATCGGCTTCACACACACGCGCGCGATCAGAAGGAGCCGCTAAATACAGGGTGGCGCACGTTACAAGTTCTAAAAAAAATGTTTTGTAGAACTTCTTCAGGTAGAGGAATGGGGGCAGACGGAATTGTCCCCATTAAAAGATGAAAAAGTACTGCATCCAGTGAAAACATATTGGGGGAAAAGAAGAATTGTTTCAACTGCAGGTAGTTATGCAGATAACAGTTTTAAATATCCAAAACATATATAATTATTTGTTATAGAAAGTACAGTCACAATGGACAATACACAAGCTAGTACTTCTGCAGTTTCTGAAACGTTAGAACCTCCTGTAGAAGAAGGAAGCAGTACTAAATTAGGTAAGTACAATTTCTTTGTTCATACAAATATACCTGTCTTTAGTATCTATTATTNTAACAGTTTCAAATATCCAAAACATATATAATTATTTGGGTAAAGGTCTAGATGATGACTACCTCCCCCGATCCCTACCCCCTTTGGGGGTGGGGGGTCATCATCTAACCCCCATAACTTTTTATGGGGGTGAGACCGCTACGAACTTTTTATGGTACAGTGGTGGAGGAGACCTCCTCTTTCGATCCCACCCACCCCCACCCCAAAAGGTCTAGATCTTTACCATTACTTGTTATAGAAAGTACAGTCACAATGGACAATACAGAAGCTAGTACTTCTGCAGTTTCTGAAACGTTAGCACCCCCTGTAGAAGCAGAAAGCAGTACTAAATTAGGTAAAGAACAATTCCTTTTTTCATACAAATATACCTGTCTTTAGTATTTATTATTTTAATCAATTGATGTTTTGCTATTTACTCGTATATTGTGCTAATTGTACTTATTACTGCATTTATACTTTGTTATTAAATTTGTTAATATTTTTCTTTTTCAATTTCCAATTAAAACAATTAAAATTTGGTGTAATTTTGAAATGCGCGCCTTAAGTTATGCTTCATAGTTTTATGTATAGATGACAGTGAATATTCGAAGTTTTCTTTGCCAGTACCATTTATATATATATTCCAAGTATCGTCTACTAATGTAGGGTAAACTTAGATGTCGCTGAGTGGGGTCAAAATTTTACCCTATTATCTATGGTTTTACATCTACATCTAGTCTAGGGTGCGCGCACTTGCACTGGCAACCGAACAGGCTACGCTCGAACCCGTTCGAATTCATACGCATGCTAAATAAACTAGATTTTTCCGAATTTTCGGATTCAACGAATATTATAATAGGTATTCTTACAACACTAGTCGCCTCTCAGAGGGCAAGCCTGTCAAGATGGACAACCTTCATTTTGGCGAAATGTCCTTTCTAAATTTGATAGACAATGTCGTTGATGCGTCCACTAGCGATGTACGGACCATCCCAAGTTTGTAGTTTCGGGCAGCGTCCTTCCACCTGGATAGATTGTATAACTACTGTTTTGTCGTCTTATCAAAACCATAATAGTTAGCTCGACGTTCGTATCTACTTGTTATGCGGTCACTTTCGCACTTTTTCGCCTATAGACACTGGAAAGTCTAGGACAAACACATAACATATCCACTAGCAGTTTGAGTTCTTTCCAAAATAAAATGCTGGTCGGTGTTTTTCTAATTTTCTCATAGATGGCAAATCTGTAAGATAAGAAAAAAAGAAGTATGCAGCGCAGGGCGGCACTGTTACGGGCTAGGGCTAGCAGCCCCGCGGTGGATCAAATTGGTGGCCGGCCGGTGACAACCTTTCTTTTGAATAAGAAACACTTAGCTCATTAATACCTTTTTTATTTATATTCGCTTAACACTAGGTAACGGGAGTATAGTCTTAAAACTAAACATACATTCTATTACATTTTTAGTACAAAAATAGGGTTTATTTATATGCGCTTAAAGCTAGACACTTATACGTAACTTAAAACTAACATTACACACTTATATCTCACGCGCCATTTCATTGTGCTAGGTCCGAAGGGGTACAGGCCGTTGCAGGATAGGGATCTCGGACCTAGGGGGGGCTGGCATTGCGGGATCAGCTCGGGAGCGAGAGTTCCATCGTTGATAGGGGATCGTGGTCCTGGATCGGGGAAATGCCAAGCAGCGGAACGTAATTGTTTAGTTCGGTTTTCTACCCTGTCTTCCAAATCTGGCAGCCGTAAGTAGTCGTTGGTATAAGGATAGCTTTTTTGAGGTGGATCTTCTGTTTTAGAGGCAGCTTGTTGCGGGGGTTAATGGGGCGATGCACCTGTGTTCTCCTTTATTTGAATTGATTTTTGACGATTTTATGTGATTGTAGAAAGTTAATTGTTAATCTATTGTGATGCCTAGATATTTGACCTCGTTCTTCCATGGAATTGGTTGATTGGGGTAGGTGTTTGGGTCTTTTCCTTTCCTTTTGGAAGATGACTGCCTTGGTTTTGTCGATGTTCAGAACCATTCTCCATCTAGTAAGCAATTTGCTGATGGTTGTGGTGTCTCTTTGTAGGAGTTTAGTGATGTTGTCTAGTCTTCTGGTGGGTTGAGCTACGTAGAGTGCCGTGTCATCTGCGTATTGGGCGATAGTTGCTGTGATGTTCTTGGGAATGTCTGCCATATATAAACAGGAGTGGTCCGAGGACTGAGCCTTGAGGTACCCCAGCCGAGATTTGCGTTTGGTTGAGGTGTGCTGGTTGATTTTTACGTAGTAATTTTATTCGGTGAGGTAATTTTTAATTGTGTGTGTTCGGTGCTTTGGAATATGTAGTTCGTTGAGTTTGTAGATCAGTCCATCGTAGCATATCTTGTCGAACACCTTCTCTAGGTCGAGGAAGATGGCTTCTACTGGGTGTGATTAGTTAAATTTTAGAAGAATATCTTCACACATCCTTGCGATTTGATGAGTAGTGGAGTGGAGGACAGCTGACTTTTCGACACATGTCGAAGTTCTCAGGCGATTGCTATTAAAGCCGTTGGTGACCGCACCGGGAAACTCTCCCTTTCGACGGGGCAGATTTTATTGCGGGGGGAGAGCGGGCCCCCCGCGTAAGCCTACCGCGTCTGTGTTGTGCTTATATCGTGTTCGAATGCCAGCCTGCAGCGTACTTTCCCCTCAGGTCTTCCTCTCTACGGCACACCAGATGGGTGCTTCCAGACCTTCGCCCGTGTCTGTCAACTGCTTCCCACAATCACATTTGTTTCTAGATACCCAGGGGCCCTTTTTGATTCGCCATGACGTGCGTATGGGTGCTGAGCCCCCGCGGCGACAAGGTGAGGACCCTGGAGGGGGGCTGCGGAGGGGAACAGCTAATAGAGATTTTACGTGCGACTCTTACCATGTTATTCAAATCCACACGTCAAAACAAACAGAGAGTAGCCGTAATGGAATGAAGGACTCCTTGGGGTCGCCTCTGCATCAGATGGATTGGTTCCAGGAAGCCACCGATGCGGTACCTGAGAGTTAACGAGGCGAGTAACTTCCAAGTTCGGGTCTATCTATACCCATAAGCGTTCAATGCAGGGACTACACAGCCCCCTAACCCAACATGCGGGCTGTACCCAACGAGTCCAACACCAATTGGCGGGGCAGGAATCGAAACCACCAGCTTTTGGCATCTACTCTGCTTTCGCCACAAGCGTACAGCCCCCCTAACGGGTCAGACTGCACACCCGGTCCACAAATGGCTCCAACTTTCCACTATGCTTCACGTCGTAACCCCCCCTAATGGGTCCAGTTACCCTCTACTCTGTGAACCCGACTGATGCTCCTCTCTTGTCAGGACACTTACTTCGCCTTAGATATGAGTAGGGTGACCAGCTAACTAGAGGATCGCTGACTTTTCGGCGATCAAATGTCCGAGCACTATTCGGCTGATCTCTGGTTGGCGGTTGTTGAGGCGGATGCGTAAGCGATCAGTGATTCCATATGCTCCATCGTTTAGCGAAACTCTACTTAGCACAGCGCTGGGAAAACGACTGTGCATTGAAAATCAGTTCCTTCGCCACGCTAGTAATTTGCCGTTGCTTTCGCTAAGATCTATCGCCAGCGACTTACCAACGATCTCATGTTAGCGTATTTGTTTATATTTACCTATAAAGAAGTCTATTTGACAGCATTCTTTGAAATGCGGTTCATGTGGAAAATTTGAATTATATCTAAGTATTTTCGAAACTCAATTTTTCAGTTAACTGGGGAAAATAAAGAATAAATTATTAACTCTGGTGTCTAATCCATTACTTGGGATACGCTAAAAATTTGGAGTTCCAGACTAATTAACATACCTTTCTGTAACTCGGATTCTTTTGAAAAATTCTGTAGATCAAATTCGAATCATTTCGCTGGAGACGGTCTTTTCTCATGATAGCGGTAAGATTCTTTACTTCTATCATTGGAAAGCATGAAGCTTGTATTCATTATTAACCAGGTAAAATTAAAATTTTTGGAAGGATGATAAATTAAATCTCTTACGTTTATTGTTTTATTGGTTTCTGTCAAAAAGGTTTTTTTGAATTATCAGTTTGCCTTTGCATTTGCTCGTATCTATCTAACCAGTTTCCGGTTTTTTCAGATTGTGATAAATACGAATACATTCTGATATAACGACTTACGGATTTGATTTTAAAGTCATTCATAATTTTGCCCGTTAAAAGGTAAAGTAGACAAAATCTGTAGATTTTTGAATAGTGGTATTTAAGGATAATATTGTAGTTAATAATTATCACCATTTGACCATCCTGACATATCATGAATTTCGGTTCTAAAAATATTTAAAACTAGCTGCTCGCCCCGTCTTCGACCGGGGATTTTAAACTTATTTAAACAGAATAATTATCGCTGCTAAAATGAAATGACATATGATGACATTGAATGTTCATTATTATCTCCTTTATTTACTTTAGATCTTAGGCTAGGTTTTTTATAAAATGCATATAAAAAGTAAAATAAAAAATACAGTACAAAATATAAACACAGTATAAAAAACCTAACCTAGGGTGCCGCCAGCAACGGGGCAGGGCCCAAGCTACCGGCGGTTAGGGCCGCAGAGAGAGGAACCTCCTGACAATGCGCGCCGTGTCCAGGATTACCGCCTTCTGTATCTGGCCCTTGATCCAGCCATCCAGCGAGAGATTATTATTATTATTATTATTGTAGTGCTTTGTGGTATACGATGTTTTTTGTTTGATTACCTGGCGCATAGATAAACAAATCTGTTGGTTTTCCAACACGGGAACAGGCAACATACAATTGACCATGTGAGAAACATGGGTTTTCTAGATTAATACCACAAACACTTAATGATTGCCCCTGGGACTTGTTTATAGTCATAGCAAAAGCAAGCCGCACTGGAAACTGTAGTCGTTTAAACTCAAATGGCACATCAGTCGGAATCATTGGGATGCGCGGTATGAGAACATCTTCTCCTTTATACTTTCCTTTGAGTATAGTTGCTTCTATCACATTGTTTAGTAATTTTTTTANTGACGTGGAAACTGATGCATTTTATCTCGCGTGCCGAAACTAATACAAAAGAAACGCGAGTTTCGGAACGCGACATTAAACTCCTCCAACTATGTATTCTGTGCTCCTACGCACACACGCACATTGTTTTGATAGATATGATCTTTGACGTTAGGAACACACCTACATTGCTTAGACAACAGTGAGTGCTTGTAATTTAATATGAACTTTATGCCATAGCAATAAAGCTCAAATTGACTACGTTTTAGTTACAAATCATTTGTATGGGAAAAAGAAAAGGGCTATTTTTAGGGTTTTTCCAGCAATAATTCTAATTTTTCTCGCTGTAAAAACCATCCTTGAACTTCAACGAACATTTTAAAAAAAGATTTGGCCAAATTGGTCCAGGCGTTGTTGAGTTATGCGCTTACCAACACATTTTGCGATTCATTTTTATATTATAGATTGTAGAAACAACTTTCTTCTTGTGCATTTGCCGCGAGAGGTAACACTGTTGACAATGTACTGTAGTTCAACGTTGAAAAAAAAATAACTCTTTTATAATTTTGTTAGTAAAATGTAAAATTAAATTGTTTTCTGTCACAAACAGATTTTTATCGTTTTTTAAAATTGTTGAAGTACCGTTCTAGATTTTAACATCTATTTATCTATCAATAATATCAGTAATAAGCATTGATTATATCACCCCCGGGTGAAGTTGAAATACTGTTTATGTTTTTTATACTTGCAAAATTTTTCGTCTGCACGTACCCCTAGTTAAGTATTTTGTTTTGGAGGAGAAGACAACTGTTGTACTTTAATTTTCCAACAAGTTTTACATACACGCATACAAACCCTTACGTTGAAATAACACTGTTCATCTTTGCAGGGAGGTAAATGTGCCAAAATATGCATGTATAAATAAAAAAATAAAACATGTATCTAATCCAGGCCTTCTTAAACTATGGGTCGCGCCCAAATGGGGTCCCAAGAGATTTGAATATACATTGTTACCTAATAAATAAACCATCAAAGAATATTTATTTATCTTTCTTTAATATTTATATGGGGTCGCCAGGAAACACATAATCATAAATGGAGTCGTGAATGAAAAAAGTTTAAGAAGCCCTGATCTAATCCAATAGATTAATAGGTATTATTGGCTTACTCAAATTCGCCTGTGTTTAAGTTTTACCCGTAAATTCATCATAGTTTAGGTCAAGAGCATTGAATAGAACTTTTTCGCTTTCTCATTCATTAGGGTATCAAGTCTTTCATGGCAGATCTGGCCGAATTATAAGCTGTTTTAAGTAAAATACCACAGAATAAATAATTCGATTATGGTAACGTGCCTATCACGTAGTGGTGAGCTACGCCGGGATTTCGTATCGGCAAGTAGATATCCATGTATTTAAATGGACCTTGTTGAGAATACGTAATCCTAAAGTGTAGCATTGTACTACAGATGGCGTTTACCGTGCCATTTGTGGTATTTTATAAAACGTGCTGTTAAGACAGCAGATAAAATTGGTCTGTGTTCTGTCGAAACTATCTATGACGCGCCAATAAGATCCAACAAGATCGAAATCGCGATCCACGTCTGACAGTTTCGACAGAATACAGGCCATTTCGAATTATTTTATCAGTTTTAAGTAAAATAAATTACTAAATTTTCCGAAGCAGGCGTCTATTTATTATAACATATTTCTTAATTAATAACGAATGGTGAAAAGCCAACTGAAGCAAATATAGGGGGAGAGGCATCCCTCCTTTGGGTAGGGGTCAGCGTCTAAATAAATTTGCAGAGATTTTACACAAAAAATTAGGTTAGGTTGGGTTAATTTTGATTCTGCTTTTAATAAGCACTTCTATAATATGATATTTTAGGTCATGTAATGAAGTCACATTTTAAGTAAATAAAACAAAAAGTATTTCATGTTTGTTTTATCGGGCTTTATTTACTTTGATTAAAACATTAATCTGAATGGCTGGTGTAGGAGGTTTACAGTGCGGAGGTAATCTCTCTATCTAGCAGGAAACAAATAGGATATTTCAGCGTAAAATTCGTCTCAATTTTTTTGTAAGGTGAAGTTATGACCCTGCGAAGTTTTTATTAATACTTCACAAATTTGTCACAAATATTTAAGTTATTCACTGCAATTACTTTTCAACAATAACTCTCTCTATAACACTTATTTGCCTCATCATTATAAGGTCGTCAGTCCTAAAACTGGTTGGACACACACCTCCATTCTTTCCTATCTTGAACTAATCTTCGCATTTCCGTAAAACTAGAACAACCCATATCCTTAACTATTTGTGAACAGTAATCTAGGTCTATCTCTACCCCTCCTAACTTCCGTTTTTGCCTCTAATATATCTCTAACTAGACCTTCATGCCCGAGAAGGTGTGCTACCAACCTATCTCGACTTCCATTCTGTTCTCCTATTCTTTCTAATACCTCTTTTTTTCTAACCTTCTCTATCCACGGTATCCTCATCATTCGCCTGCAACACACCATTTCGAACGCTTCTAACCTTTTCTTTTTCTCCGCGTACACCGTCCATGTTCCGTACCCATACAACGTCGTGCTCGATACTACTAATCTTTTGTCTCTGTATATTTATCCCTACAGTTGTACTGTCTGTAATGATATTGATCGCGTCTACGATGTACAGATTAAAAAGTAGCAGTTACAGTGTGCATCCCTGTGTGACTTCCTTCCTAATATTTACTTCTCTCTGCCTGTTCCTCTTTATACAAACTAAGTATCACTCTTGTATCTTAAAATTACCTACCTATTAAGTAAGAAATAAATTTACAATCAGTTAGTTTTTCCATCTTACACACCTGCGTGTAATATGTTCTTTTTGCGTTATTCAGACAAAGTAATGGTTAAGGATGATTCGCCAACCTACACAGCCGGCAGGAGCACTTCAACCTCCTGGTGTTGTTCCATCACAGCCAACGCAGCGTAAGTGTTTTTCTCTAAAGATCTTTTATAATTTTAATCGGTAAAAGTTTTATAATCCTCTTAAAAATTTAAAAGATATGTTTCATTGTGTACCTCTATATTTTACTTACAGCCACGATTGTCTACGTAAGTGTACCTAGCCCTCACGACCCGGATAGTATTATGATGATATGTCCTTACTGCCACAGTAGCATTAGCACTAGAGTAATATCGCAGCCAACAGCTGCAACCCACTTGTTCGCATTACTGTTATGTGTTTTAGGGTAAGCAGTGAGCATAAAATATGTATATTTTTTTTGAAGTGAAACTTCATACACACGGTAGGGTAAGTTCGTTTCATGCGAGTTGCTATGTAACGAAATCATGCAACGGATGTCCCCTTTCTACTCGGCCACGTAGTCGAGTTCGTAGTGGGAATCGCTGGAGCTGTGAGCGCGCTTCAATGCAACGTTCGTTACAGGCAACTCCGGCATGTGTAGTGTAAAATTTAAATTTATAGTGTACAAATAATACCTACCGTTAAACCAATTCCTTAACCCCATGTTTGTGTGTTTGAAGAAGTTTCACTTCAGTAGCGTGTTGTGTAATTACACGCTGTACTTTTTTTTAAATTCTAAGTACTGATTTAAAAATATTGTTTTTATATTTATTACATTTTAATTGCAATACATGTATATCGACGAAGAATGGAACTTGGCAATACCAAATAGTACTTTTCAAGTAGACATTTAGGTGTGCAAATCGATTTAAATAATCTTTTGGAATAATTGCCAATAACTTAATATAATTAAAACACTCGGTATATTTTTGTTTCACAAAAAAAATACTTATTATTATTCAAGCATGTAATAGTCAATTACTCCAAACATACACATATAAGGACCAAAAATGTTAATTATTAAACATTAATAATTAAAAGAAAA